ACTAGATGACTGTGAGCCAATAAAAAGTTTTCGCTTACAGCAACATTATAGCAGAAACAAACAACAGGTACTGCTGCTAGCTACCAAATAGTTATCTACACTCTATACTAATATAATAAAGCGTAAACACACACTTCTTTGTTGTCTAAGATGTCAGCAATCACAGCATATTTTCGAATAACACTTTTTTAATAAAAAGCCCTATACTTACGTCACGCTTTAGGCTATATATTTTCACGCCATTAAACTTAGGGGGTAAATATTTAAGGTAAAAACCCTAATATGGGAAACAGACCATAAGTTGTTGCCAACATCAAGAAAGCAAAATTGCCATAGTAAGGTAATTAGTATTTTGACATTTGCAATTGGTAATTTGACAGATGTAAACAATAAAATAACCTTTTTAATTTCTTGCGGATGAAGTCGCATGGAAACATCTGGTATAAAATAGGTACAATATAACAATATACTGTAGCTACAACGTATTAATAATATCAGTAACAGTTCATGTACCATTATAAATTGTTTAATAAATTTAAGTTGGTATTAAATCGTAACCTAATACTGCAATATCAGCTAAATAAATATCAAAATCATTGCCAAATAAGTCGTTATAGGGTTATAATAGATAGTAATTTACTTTTAAATAAAGCCAAAGTGGACAAAACAATAAGGGATATAAACCAAGGCTATTATGGTCAGGAGGTCAATCCGTGTCCGACCGCAAATAAAATTCGATTTCAGCGCTCTCGATATCGAAATGGAATCGATTTTAAAATGGAGCAAATTTTTTTCTGTATCAAGCAATGAGGGCATGCAATTTTCATCGCGTTTCGTCCGTAATTTGATACTTCGGCACGTAGCTTATCGATTTCTTTTGTTTCGAGTTTATAATATCAGTTGTTTTGTACAGAGATATCGCATAGTAATATGCAGTGCAGTTAAGGTGGTATGCCTTCAATTCTGTACAACTAGACGACAATACCGCTTAGGTAACCAATTGTTTTTTTTAAACAAATTAAAAGTATTGAAAAATGCATACTGTGAACTTACGAGAGTATTAAAATACCTATACAAGTGAAAGTCCATTTATTTCAACGTTTTCATTAAAATATACAAGTTAAAAATGAATGACTAACAGAAAACATATTAAAACTCTGAAATGCGTTTCTAAAACATGTTTAAAACATAAACTTAATAAAAAATTTACTTTAGACATATCAATTGAAAATAATTACTTAAGTTCTGAATTATTAATCAAGAAGGAGTTAGTAAATTAATCTACGGTTAATTAGTGTTAGCGGAATGGAGAATTTATGGAATGTAGTGTAGGTCGGACTGTCGAGAGGTAATGAACGGGCAGACAGCGCGGTGGCGAAACTATCGATTGAACGAGTACAGATTACAAGTGCATCATTAAAATAAATCGATTATTAACTTTAACGATTGGTTTACAAATTACAAAGCTTTAATAAGTTGGTGTTTTAAAAGGTTAGCTATTGTAATATGCAATGTATGCGATAGTCGTGGAGTTACGGAAACTATTTCTATTTGTATTGTAATTGATTAAAACCTTACTGGCTTATACCATAATCAGAGTTTGGTGGTCTCTTAGAGTGTGGCTTAGTGTAGATTCGTCATACTCTAGGGGACAACCTCACTAACCAGTTAACAACTATGAGTGTAACAGTTAACGTCTTGATATCAGGAATTAAAATGTTACTAATAATATAAATGCGAAAGTTTATATGGATGGATGCATGTTTGTTGAGTTTGTAGCCTAAACGGCTGAACGGATTTCGATGAAATTTGGTATAGATCTAGAGCACAGTCTGGAAGAATACATAGGCTACTTACTTTTGTTTTTGTTTTTTTAATTACACTTGGATGGAGTCGCGGGCGAAAGCTAGTATGTTCATAAAGGCAGATACATTTAAAGTGGATTCACAAGAAATATACACTTTAAAGGAAACTCGCAGTTGTTTTTTTAAAACGCCATATGACGTTGCATGCATCCGAAGAACAGGTGCGCGATTTCCTTTACTCAGGGGCTTATTAATAAGGCTTGGAAGCCAAGATAAGATGGCATGTCTGTTGTATTAAAAATACGTGGGTAAAAACAACGTAAAGAATCTTTAACTTTGGAACGAAACACCTTGATATTAAAATATTGAAATCATTCACTTTGAATGCTGAACTTTAAACAAACAGAGGACAAAATGTAAAAAAATGCAACTTCTTTTGTATCAAGTACTAGGTGTTGCTCGCGACTTCGCCCGGGTGAAACTAAAAATATATATATAGCCAATGTTAACGTAGCTGTAAAGAAAAAAAATTGAAATTAGCCTAGTAGTTTTTGAGTTATTACAATACATACAGAAATACAAATCTTTCCTTTTTATAATATTAGTATCAATATACGAGTAGATAACAAGTATGGGTGGTGTAGCAAATTAGCATATTATTTATAACTACAAACTAACCCTACTTCGTTTATTCGCACAACGAATATGGTAATAAGTTCGTTACGTGGAAACCAGTCTAATTAAATCAAAAAGATATGCATCAAAGGCGACGGACCCCAAACTATAAAAAGTGTTTCACACCGGCTTTTGAGTCCACTCTATTAAAACGTCTTAATGTGTCACCTACGTTACATTTTGTGTCCTTTATCTTAGAGTTGCTTTTGTTTTTTATAATGAAGTCGTTTGCTTGTTAGAGACACACTACTGTGTTAAGAGTAAAACTAAATTTGCTACCACGTCTTCTTGGAATATCATAAGATAGCTATCTGAGATGCTACTGTAATTTCTTAAAACATTTATTTTAGTTTAAATGAAAACAGATGACAGATAAAAACATCAGTAACTCTAAACAATTCGTAAATGCTTTTGCTTTAAACGAAATAAAACTTCTTTACCAGCTCTATGCAAATTAAAGTACTTTTTTGATGTCATTACGTAAACAAAAATAAGGAACAGCAAGATAAAGTCTGAAGCATTAATGCAATTCATGTCTGATATTTTTTGTATCGATCGATTGTATATCTCGACATGATGATGACATTCAAATTTTCAAACAATATAGTTGACCTCATTTAAGCACCGATGTCATTCATATAGCAACGTTACTTTTAATGTTGAATACTTCTTAGTATATATACAGCTATCAAATTAAATAGGCATCAGCTCTTAAGATGTTTACATAAATTAACTTACCAAACTGGCTTTACATGCCCAGTCGTGCTAAACATTCGCTCGTTATGTTTCACGTAAACATTAAAATTTTATGTTACCGAGACACCAAATTCGTTTTAAATATTAACGATGATAATTTTAGACAAGGTTTATTATTATGGTCGCTTGCAAGATATAAATCTATACTAATATTATAGAGGAAAGATTTGTATTTTTGGATTTTTGTATGTAATTGTTCTACGCAAAAACTACTGTACCGATTTTAAAAATTCTTTCACCATTACAAAGGCAATTTATCTGTGTGGCTAAAATTTGGAATCTTGCATCAATAGGTTTCTGTTATTACGTAGATTACTAAGTTGATACTTTTGGTAATAGGTTGAAAAAAGGGACGAACGTAAGTTTTAAACTTTTAAACTTCACGCGGACAAAATTGTGGGCAACAGCTGGTTTTAAATAATTTTGTAGATTATATTTCCGAATAACTTTGACATGCAAAAACAGAATATTTGACATTTTTTCTTCAAAATTAAAATCCTTTTTTTAACACAGAGCAAAGCTTTCCTATTAAATAATTTGTGATTACAATTTATTTATTTCTGATGTGAACGAGATAACTAAGATTTAATCAATTGTCACAATTTGAGGGCAAATCAATCCAAGCACTTTGCAATCGTGCTTTTAAATTATGCAATAAAAGTTCAGTTACCAAGATAAAAACAAGTTTTACATGTAATAAGTAACCTTTATGTAGAAAAATATTTATTACATAAATCCTTTATGCTAAGTGTCTTAAGAAACCTTACAATCATCATCATCATCATCACCAGCTCATTATAAGTCTCCACCAAGAGGCTCGGAGCCTACCCTAAAGTAAGGGGTGACTAGGCTATGTCAACCACACTGGCCAAGTGCGGGTTAGTTGACTTCACAAATATCTTTGAATTTCTTCACCGATATGTGCAGGTTGCATTACGATGTTTTCCTTCACCGTAAGAACGCCAGGTAAATTATGTACATATGAAAATTCGAAAAATCGAAAATCACATTGGTACATGGCGGGATTCGAACCCAAGACCTGTAGATTACAAGTCAAGTGCTTACACCACTGAGCCTCCTGACAATAGTATAATTGAACACAGTTTAATTTATGAAATTCAAAATACATCGCCTTTCTAAAGCTCCTAAGATAATTTACGTAACAAATTCAGGTTTGGTGAAGAGCTAGTTCAATTCGATTTTCATAATTAACAACCGTAATGTAGACATAAAAATCGCAATCAGTCAAAGAAGATCAAAATTCCCTTACCATATCAGGATAAATAGAAAAAAATATTATACAATATGTTAAAGTAGTTGACCAACATTAATCAAGTAAGTTAAGACTTACTTTATGAGTGAACAACTTTTTACCGATGTCGGTAAGTAAAGAGAGAAGCGATAGTAATCATTGTTAATTGACTATGTCAATTTATCGGTTTGATTGAAGACGTGGTAAGAAACTCATTAAAAACACCTTAATAAGTCTGAATTAAGTTGTACTAAGTTATGTAGTAGGTTTTTTGGTAATATCGTTAAATAATAGACAAAACAAAATTTAATAACAAGCCTTACTCATATTTCGTAACTAAAATCTGATCATATTTGACATATGTCGTTAGTTTTTCGCTTTGGTTTAGTTTCTTTTTTGCTTTCATGGTTAATTATTAAGGTGTTTATCATCGGCTTGATCGAAACCATATAATCAATCGATCCAATCCAACAGATAAAATTGACAAAGTTTGAATATATAATATTACTTACGCAGCGAAGATATTCCCGACGTATTCTCATTCCTCAAACTATCTGCACCAGCTGGCCATCTGAGGAAAAGCAAATTTCATTATTTAATCTTTGTAATAATACTACAAATTCAACATCCCAAACGAGGTTTCAATTGTAGATTAATTTGACTTTCTAAACGTTGGCTAAAAGGACGACGTACTAAGGTCGAATCCCAATATTGTTTAATCACAATGGCGATTGTGAGAAAGAATCACAAACAAAACAATAGACTTCAAGTCGGCAATTAGCTGGAGACCAATTAAAATATTTGCTTAATGCTGATAGCGCTTTGTTCAATTTACAAACAAAACAACTGACTTCAACCGTACGTGACCGGTCATCACAGCGAATTCTTTAACCTTTACTAAATATTATTGAATAGGTATATGTAGCTATAAATGTAAACTGCAGAAGGAAGAGGAAGACCGAAGAAAGTATGGATGGATTGTGTGAAGGAAGATATGCTTAAGAAAGGAGTGGATTCAAAAATGACGGCTGATAGAGATGTATGGAAGAGCAGCACATACTGTGCCGACCCGCCATAAGGGATAAGGGCAAGTGGATGATGAAATGTAAACTGCAGAAGATCCACAATATTTCGGACCATAGTAAATTATATAAGTAATGTGTTTATCTATACTGATATTAAAAAGAGGAAAGATTTGTGTTATTGTTTGTATTGCAATAACGCAAAAACTACTGGGTTGATTTTAAAAATTGTTTCACCGTCAGAAAGGTAATCTGTGATTAACACAGGGTATATATTTTATTATTCTTTAATTTAACGCGGACGAAGTCACGAGCAACAGCTAGTGTCAAATAAACACGTTAGCAAATAGGAAAATGATAAACAACCCTTATGAGGTGATGTCATGGAGAACAGCGAGACGCCGCGTGGGTGTGTGTGAACCGGTCGTAGACATGACAAGTGGAGCATATTCCTAATAGTGTTGGACAAACGATACCTTAAGCAACGAAGGCATTAATTTAATCATTTCAAAAATAACATTTTAATTTTTCAATCATTTATGAACTTTGTAAGTACAACTGTGGTGCAAAAAAAATTGTCAAAGAAATTTGACATTTTTTTTTGCACCACAGTGTGAATTAACTGGTTATATATGATCTTTTTTAACTAGTAACTGTTATTCGATGACTGTGGTGTGGGTGACAGGGACACCCCTGTTTCTGGAGTATTTAAATGTGATCATAAATCCACGTTTAAACATTACCAAATCCATATTAAAAGTTTTCACAATAACCTTATACAACTCTGAGCTTATAGAATTAAAAGCGCTAACAATTATTTTTTATCTTATTAAAATTATTGACCTCAACATTCGCTAACTTTCCCAGAAACAGAACAATCAAATCGATATTTCGCCATCGCAATTCGTGTAACTGTATATGAAATCGATTTATGAATTGAATCGACGAATCGAGACCCATGTCCGCGAATGTTCAGCTATAGAACAATAAGAAACGAATACTTTACTAAATTTGCATACAACTTTCGCTGGTACTGCGTAGGTTGATGTGTGGGATAAAGTCTAGAATCGCTAACAGGTTGAATGAATAATTGCCTTAGAAATATAGAAATTCACATTTTATCTTGACTATGTTTTACACTTGACAGCTTACAGACAGAGAGAACTATTATGATTACAAATTATTCCAATAATTTTGCATTGCTAATGGAAATTGAAATACACGACAGAATTTATTTCATAGATAACACAAAAAGTACTAAAAAATCAGATCAGAATTAAAGCAAAGAAATAAAGCAATGAAGTCTGCAAATACTTAAAAACAAAACACGTAGACAAACAAAACTGTAACAATTACGTTTCTAGTTTACGTTAACAAAAACCCATGTTACATAGAAAATGTTATGATAGATAGCTTTAAATTATTCTGTACTGTTACATACACGTTACAGCTAAAGCGATTTTCACAATCGACGAATTGTTGCGTGAATCCGAACAGAGTAGTTATAGCTAACATGTATGACTCGGTTACTGTCGAAATTCATGACATAACGGTAACATTTACGTATGCTGAAGATTTGTCTAAGCAAGCGCTTTTTCGTGAAAATAACAGTAACATTTTATTATGTGAAACAAACTTCCGTCGTTAAATCCTGTGAGCTGTTTTTATTTGTAGAAAATTTACGTAACTTGCCTAACCGAAATGTGTGTCAAAGTTTTGCCAAAACAAAAAATACTTTAGTTTTTATAAACTGCGAGGAAAACGACAATAGTTTCATTTAGTGTGAGTGTTGCAAAAATAGCAAATAACAGAAGATTTTCCAGAGGTAATACTGGTCATATCAGTCAGATAAATAAAATATGTAGATTACATATTGATACAATAAATGTTATGCAAAACGTAAACCAACTTTGTAAGTGTCGTATTTAAACAAGCGAATTATAAAACTGATAATAACAGAACAAATAAACTGGTTAGCAATTGAACAGTGATTGCATAATGCTTCGTTGAATTGATTACAAAAAATAAACGATTTATTGAAGCAAAAAAACTTGTTCGAAGCCGTTCACTTTTTACTCATGACATATACCTTTGTAACACATAATTGTATGCAGTGCCCTTTTCTGGTTAGCGTTTTGTAATCATTTAAATAATTATAATTAAAGGTTAAAAGGTATAGCAACTTTGAACTAAGTCAATTAAAAAAAAAGATATAACAGTCTAGTGTGAATTCCATTCAATGACCTGTTGACTTTTAAATTGCATGCTAAGCAAATTTCAGTAACAAATGCTGATCGAAAATATGCAATTTTATGTCGGCAATACATTGAAATTATAAACTGCTTACGTCACAGAATAATAATTTTTAATTTAAACACGTTCAAATACTTCATTATTCGCATAGTTGCAATTTATGTATCAGTACACAACTCATTCATAAAACATTTGCTCCACCAATCGTTTTTATTGTACCTAATTCAATCAATAAATAGTCTCGTCTAGATCATATGAATTAGGAACTTTCGTATTTTAAATTGATCCATTTGCACAAAACAAAGCAAGTGTTTAGGGTCTACAGAGGTAAAAGGAGAATCTCTCACGGCATGGCGTGACCCGCCACACTGACATTTGAAGAGCGAATTTGTACGGAAATACGTTTTAATTCTTAGGATCTGATCCATCGATTAAGCTACAACACGGATTAGGGGACAATGAATTTAGCAATGTCATTAAATCATATTAAAAAACGTTTAAGGTTTATACAAACACTAGCTGTTGCTCACGACTTCGCCCGCGTAAAATTAAAAAATAATTAACAACATGTTACTGAGTTATAAAGTAGCTTTTTAATGGTGAAAGAATTTTTGAATTCAATCCAGTAGTTTTTGAGTTATTTCATAGAAACTTTTAATATTACTCCTAACGTTACAGCTAAATTAAAAGTTTAAAAAAGTTACTAAACGGATATCTATCTAGTTTAATTTCTTTAGTCTTAGATTCTTTCCAATAGTTTTGTTTTCGATAGAACAAAATGAAACTTTATGTAAAACAATGCGTGGTAAAGTTTGTCCTATAAAGGAAGAGAAATGGCTTGCACGGCTGCTTTCCAAAAGTTCAAGCCTCCGCCATCGCCAAGGTCCCAAAGATGCCGTTATCGGAACAACGACGTCACGAGATGGGGCGTCAATATACCATCGGCAGCACGCTTTGGATACGTATCCATTGTTTTAAACTAAATTTATGTATGTTATTAATTAAAATTATAATGAAAACAAATTTAAATAAAACAAATCAATAGTTTGGGTAAATCGTACCCAAATTACCAATTTCAGGTGTTAAAGAAAAGTTGGATATAAGGGTACCCAACTTGAAAAGTTCAAATTATTAACGCAAAGCCTTACTTGAATTACCCCATACTAAGAGATTTTAGTAAGACTGTAACAAGGTTTTTAAAGACACTATCGCTTCTTCTTATCTTACTAGTAATATAAACGCTAAAGTTTAGATGGATGTTTGTAAGAGTTGGCCGCCTAAACTGCTGAACGGATCTCGATGAAATTTGGCATAGATGTAAAGCATAGTCTGGAAAAACATGTAGGCTACTTATTTTTTTTAATTCCACGAGGAATTACGAAGGCGAAAGCTATTACACAATACATTGCACATCTCTATCTTCTATATCAAACATGAGAAATGATTCCTCGCTGACACTGTTCAAATTAAGTTGCTGCCCCATTGCATTTCGCAATGAATAATGGATATGTACTTAGCACTCGGGCCACATGTTCGCGTGGGTATGGATTGATGGATACCACTGCTACATACTGGTCATAGGTAACATGTTTGAAATGATTTCTACAACCACCTGCGTCCAATACAAGCTTTAAAAACAGTTGTTAAAGTAACATTCCTAATGAAATTCGTAACATTAAACTAAGACATAGGTAACAACGAAAATAAATATAAAATCCTCTATTTATAGTGATATTATCAAATTTCAATACAGACAGCTACAATATCACTGAGTGGCAAATTACACTTTTATCATATCGGGGAGCAAACAATAGTATTTCACAAATACGTGGAATAATTTTTAGATTCTAGGAAAAAAAAACTAATTTGCTTCTGAAAAAGATTATGCAATAGCCTCAAGGTAACATTCCAGCACATATAATCCAGCTAAACCAAGATGTTGCCTTACAAATAAATTCTAAACGCGCCAAAATAACGCAACATACGCGTTTAAAATGAGATTCAATAAACTATAAAACGGCCTATCAAATCGCACAATAAATACACGGTCGTAATAATTATGTGAAAGTTTTATGAAGTGAAAATATTCCATTAGTTACCAGTTAGTGTAGTTTCTTGGCATCAAAGAAATAACTGCACTGTATTTAAACTTCTTCGTCCTCTTTGAGAATAATCATTAGTAGTTTTTACATTCAATTTACAAATATACTTGTATTGGACTAGCAAGACAAATTGAACAACATCAAAGCAACAATAAATAATTTACTTATTAAAAAAACATACGTAAACAATTCTA